GAGGGAGACAGAGACAGTGGGATTTGGATTCTAGAAGTGGCTCATGTTTGAATTTGGATTCTAGCATCCACATTGGGAAACTCCAAATGTCTGTAACTCCAGCTTCAAGGGATCCAGCACCTGCTTTTGGTATTTATGGGCACACACATGAGAGAGTAAATATAATAAGACAATTTTTTTTTTTCTGTTTTTCCAGACAGGTTTTCCAGTGTTGCTTTGGAACCTGTCCTGGAACTAGATCTTGTAGATCAGGCTGGTCTTGAACTCACAGAGATCCACCTGCCTCTGCCTCCCAAGTGCTGGGATTAAAGGTGTGTGCCACCACTACTTAGAATAAGTCAAATCTTAAAGAGAAGCTCAGTACAAACAGAAGACATATCAGGCTTTGAAATATTACTTTTGAGAAATGATCAGCTATGGAAAATTGTTTCTCATGGACCAAGTGCAGAAGGGAACTCTTCAGATGCTTGCTTGAACTACTCATTCCCCATCCTTAGAGCAAATGGTTCCTTCTGAATGAGACCTTTGCAGCCCATCCTATACAAAACTACGCTCCTCAGAACTTCCCCTCACTTTCCAGTGCTTTGCTTTCCCCTTGTTTCTTTTTTGGGTTTGTTTCATGTGTCTGAGTGCTTTGTCTCCATGTGGGTCTGTGCACATGCATGCACGCCTGTCACCTTAGGAGGTCAGAAGAGGACATTTAATCATGGGGATGGTTGTGAGCCATCATGTGGGTGCTGGGAACTGAACCCAGGTCCTTGTCGAGATCTTCAAGTGCTCTTAAGCACTGAGCCATCTCTCCAGCTCTCTCCATGATTCTTAACCCTGCCAACACATAACCCATACTTCCCTTGAACAGAAAGTGGTCAAGTTTATTCACTGTTGTGTTCTGAGACTAGAAAATCTCAAAAAGCACAGCAGTGAACAGTATTCATTGCAAGAGTAATCTCTCTGTGTTCTGGGTTCCAGAACTTTATGCCACAAACTCAAGGTACCCATTTTCCTTGAAAATTTTCTTTTTAGTGCTTGGCTTAAAGTACTTGGAATTGTATCTAAATGCATGAGTTCTGTTCAACTCTCTTGCTGGAATGAATCAGTATGGACTCCAAATGGAAAATAAACTAAATTACCCGGCCTCTGTTCAAGAAAGCACTCATGTCATTATCTCTGAGTCAATTTTATGCCATAATTTATTTTGCATTATAATCGGCTACACTGTATTACCTACATTTGTTTTTAGAGTATAATCAATAATAAGACTAGAAATTAGAGATCTTTCTTTTCCTGGAAGCTACGATACTGAAGGCAGCTGGTCCTTTAAATCTTACATATCATTCACTTTCTACTTTCTTTAAAATACTTTTTATTATGTTTTTGAGAAATCCATACATGGTGTTTTGATCATATTTACCCTTTCCCCCATTTCCAGTTCCTCCAAGTTCTAACCCCATCCCATCCCCACCCACATTTGAGTCTGCAGTTTTTGTCCCATCAAGTCCAGTGTGCTGCCTATGCACTCTTGGGTATGTGCCTATCACAGGAGAGTGGTCAATCTACCAGGGCCACACCCTTAAGAAAGCTAACTCTCCCTCTCCAAGCAGCTATCAATTGCCTAGAGCAACTCAGGGGTGGGACTTTGTGCTCACTTCTACCTTCCCTGCAGCCCTTAGCATTGACCTTTTATGGCTTTTCAATCAGTGGAAAATACTGATTTTTCTGCTGATGTGTGTAAAATGCCAAATGGTAAGAGGTTTGTAATTATGGCTTTTATCTCCTCAGGTCAGAAGTTATGTAATGAAAGCTCGTGCCGAGGGGGCCCAGATTCTGTGTGGTGAGGGTGTGGACCAGCTGAGCCTCCCACTCAGGAACCAGGCAGGCTACTTCATGCTGCCCACAGTGATAACAGATGTTAAGGATGAGTCCTGCTGCATGAAAGAAGAAATATTTGGCCCAGTGACGTGTGTTGTCCCTTTTGACAGTGAAGAGGAAGTGATTAAAAGAGCTAACAGTGTTAAGTATGGGCTGGCAGCTACAGTGTGGTCAAGTAATGTGAGCCTCACCCACAGGGTAGCTAAGAAGCTGCAGGCGGGTCTGGTCTGGACCAACTGCTGGCTCATCAGGGAACTGAACCTGCCCTTTGGGGGGATGAAGAGCTCTGGAATAGGAAGGGAGGGAGCCAAGGACTCATACGACTTCTTCACTGAAATAAAAACCATTACTGTTAAACACTGACTTTCTGCTGTGGAGAAGCAGCTGCAGCTGATGCCTGAAGACCAGAGAATCATGGGTGCACTGCAGTGAACAGAAATCCTAGTGTGTCTTCAGCCATGTCTTGACTTGCCAGGAGACTAGCTCTTGTTGACCTTCACTAGTTGGTATTTTTACCAGCTTGTGAAAAAATATGCAGTTTTTAATGTGGAATGAGAACAAGACTTCTAAAAAGGAGATGCAACAAAGCCAGCCAGCTAGCTGTCTCCCTGGCCCTCATGCTATACCTTCATGCATGTCATTGTTTGATTGAATTCTTGAAAAGCTGCCTAAATCAGATATTTTCAGTGACAAATTTATAACAGAACAAAAACAAAAGCCTACAAAGATGGAGACCAGGAACTTGGCTCAGTGAGTAAAAGGCTTGTTGCCCAAGCATGAGGACCTGAGTTCAAACCCCCAACAGCAGTATAAAAGCCTGACATAGTGGCTTATAACACACATCACATGTATGTATGTGCACATACACATATACACACCACCATCAACAATAACCAAACCTGGGAGGACGGGAGGGAGAAGGGAACCGAGACTGTAATGTAAATCAATCTTGTTTCTAATGCAAATAAAAATGATTAGAAAAAAGAAACAATAAGCAAACCTGAAGAGAATCAGCCCGCCATCACTTTCTACCTTGGTGAAGCTGTGGAGATGGTCTCTCTAGCCCCTAACCATTAGCAAACTGATTGATGATTGGCTGACCCCATTAATATCAGCAAGTGATGGTCGTGAAGAGCTTGTAAGTGTCACGCATGATAGGTCTTACTAAATATGTCTGGTAAGAATAAAAGAAAACAAGTGATTATTTTTTAGAGGAAACTTGGAACACAAAACATAGTTTTATCCATTTTCACTGTCATTTCCAATCACCTCTGATTCTTCCAAGTAGAAATAAATTGTTCACCATATGCCATTCTGAGACTTGTCCGTTACTCTCCTATCCTCATTTTCTTAGAAGTATAGATTGTTTTTTCCTAATAAAGTCTGTCTAATGTCTGGATTCCTGTATCTGCTGAACATCCTGAGGAAAACCCTGAGGGTTACAGAAGTTCAATACTAGCCTCAGAGTCACAAAGAAGGCATGTGGCAGAGGTGGGATTTGAACCTCAGACTTTGAAGCTCAGGACTTCTGACAGCCTCACTCCTGCTGTGGGTTGTGCTCCAGAAGTAGGGAAGCACTTGTGGTCCCAGCACACATTGTTGTCAGTCGCCTTTCCAGGTCTCCCTCCTTGCTTCTCGAATTGGCTCCATTCTTCCTGAGTGAGGGGCCTCTCTCCACAGCAGCTGTGCAAACCAGGTGCCTCCTCCCGCTCTCCCATCTCTTCACTGACTGGAACTATTCATTTGCTGTCTGATTCCACAGCTGGCTGGACTCCTGAAGGCCCCAGCTCAATTACTCCCTTCTGAGCTCTGAGTTTATTGCACAATGCCTGGCACACGGAAGGGGCCAAAATGAGCTTGTAGGATGGTATGAGATCTTCCTGATCTGTTTGCATACTGCCAGACAGAAATTGGTGTTTATATGTGTGTGTGTGGGGGGGGGTGAGATTAAGCTTCATGAGTTTTCCCAGGGATTCAGGTATATTTTCTCATGTACAAATGCTGAGAAATTTCAACTGGCCTTTTAAAGAGCAAGTGGTGACCCTGGGCCACATTGGTTTCTAGCTTTTACTTCCTCTCCTTTCTCCTTCTTTTGTCAATTTTTTTAGGGGTCTGTAACCTGCATTAGCTTAGTCCAAGACTGATTCTGAATATTAGCAGAAGAGATTTCAGTAGCTCTAGTCATTAGGAATATCTATTTTCATGGTAGATATTCATCAACTGGCTAGTTGGAAGGGGAAAAGAATGAAGAGTGGGGTTCATGGCTGTGTACCTTTCCTCATCTTTTTGACTGCAAATGTATTGTGAATGGCCAACTCCAAGGAGTCAAAAAATGGGAGTGTAATGCATATTATTTAAAGCTATATGCATTTAATTAGTAAACCTTTTAAAATAACAATGTAACCTAAAAATATTGGAAAGTGAAAAGCTGATGTGAAGGGATAGGGAAAGTGTGACAGATTATAGGTCGCTCATTGTAGGAAGATATACTTGTTTTGAAGTTGATAAAGACAGAAATACAGTGTAAACAGTGGTTAGTCCAATGGTATTGAAGACCTAAAAGCAGAGCTATTTGAGAATGATTGCTCTCAGCTTGGTAGCAAATGCCTATCTATAATAGCAATTGGGAAGCCAAGGCAGGAGGATTGCTATGAGTTCCAAACTGGTGAGAAAATATCTCAAAAAGATTTTTGCCTGCTGATAACTGAGGGTTGGAAAGGAAATGTGTGGCTTCAGGGATCTTAACTTCAATTTTCGAACAATGTGCCCTCTTTGAATTTCTTTCGTTCATTTTTTAAGGTGCTGTTACTAACCTGCTTTAGAAAATGTTACACATATTTCCATACTCCATGTGATGCTTTTTCAGGAAGTGGAGGTTGGGAACCGTGTTCTGTGTTGTAGGATATACCAGGCCTCAAGCTCTTAACTAAGCTGCTGTTAGAGGGCTAAAGTTGCCTCACGCCTTGGAAGGTCAGTGTGGGCTACCGGAAAGATCGGTTTCCTCCACGGACACCTTAGGAAGCCTGCCTAGGTCACACCAAAGGAGGACAGTATCCTCTGCTGGCTCAAAACTACTCTCTCCCATTAGAAGACTTGGGAGGCAGATCTGGTCACTCCTGCTTAGCATGAGGTAGCAGCATGCTGCTCAGGGATTCCAGAACTTTAAAACCAAATTCCAAAACTCTTAGACTTCTTTGCTCTGCACCTGATTCTCTCCTGGGAGTTTCCATTATCCTTGTGTTAGGGGTCCCTGCAGCTGTCCATGACTATTTACAGTGGGTACATTTACTCCTCAAATGTTCTGGGGGTGTGACTCTCAATTCAGATCTACCAGTGAGGGTTTAGGAATGACGTCTTAAGACATTTTGCTTATAGATACTAAAGGGAGGCTTCTGGAACATATTCTGGCATTCATCATCTATCTGTTGAATGGTCTGAAAGGTTCATATCATCAGTCTTGGTTGCCAAGCTGAATTGCACCGGGCATTGATGATTCACCCCAAAGCCTGTGCAATCCATCGTCATCACTACTCCGAGGCTTCTGCCAAGTGAATGGTAGGCAGTTCTGGTAAGAATCACATTTCCGATTGCAGCTGGCCATGCATCATGTGTTGATAGTCTGCCTAATCGTGCCTGTTGTCCGAAGACGTGCCATCTCCACAAGTTTGATTATGGCTTTCTCATCTCACACCTCCTCCCATTCCTCCTCCACTTGCCTCAGTCCCGCCTTACCCCTGGAGATGTCATTATCCTCCAATCTCATAATTGCATTTAATTCCAGTGTGACTCAACAATCTCTCACAAAGCTTTGGAAATTACTCACCAGAATATTAAGGACTGTCTATATAAAGGGAATGAATCATAATGTATTAGATTGCCAGAGATCTTGAGGTCACACTTCCTTCCCCTGGATGGACAACTGAAGCATAAATGAAATTTCCCTGCTTGCTAAAAATATTAATGGCAAATGGGCTCTGTAAGTAGAACTGGATATAGAATGTACAGGACATCCAGAAATACACACGCATCAAGGACCTAGAAGTCTTCTGAGGACAATGAAAAAGTAATTGCTAATTCTGACAAGCATTTTAGAGTCCCTACCCCCATAATGTAAACAGCTGGCTTTTGTCTCTACTGAGGGTGGGTTATGGAGGTAAAATCATTTGTAATCTTAGCTTCTGGAATTGAATTTACATATGAAACAAGAAATATTTCATTCTAATGCTTGCAGCTCAGAGGAGTGAGTGACAGGTGAGAACCAAAACCTATTCCCTGGTGGACTCTGAGGCTAGGTGGCACCTGTGTAGGGGTCATTGGGCCTTTGGGTGGGAAGCAGTCTTGATTCTTTGTAATTGTTGTGACAGCCTGGGAGTTGTGGGACTCTGCAGCTCTAGGTGCCGGCTTCATGTGGGGGAGCAGGTGTGCATGGGACACATAGTTCTCTTATTTCAGCATCACACTGTTCATACATGACACCACAGGGACTGCCACTGGGAAGTAAGAATGGGGATTATCGAGAATTTCCAAGCAGGAGATATCTGATTTTCATGCATCATTCTTGAGAAATCAGAACATGTAAGAACCACTGAGATGGGCAAGAGTGTCAAGGTCAGTGAGTTAGCTTTTTGCAGGGATTTTTGGACTGTTTGTCTCATCCTAAAAGCTCAGTAAATCACATCCTTTGGAAGTCCCTTTTGCATTCATTTTTAGGCATTTGGGGGAATGCACTCTTCCACTTAATGGTGATAAGCACTGAGTAGCAGTGCTGAGGGGCTATTTATAGCTCTCAGGGTCTCTGGGGCCACTGGCTGGGACTTGGGATGAGTTAATGGTTTGTGTTGAGGCCAAATTCTGTCATCTGGGTGGGAGCGATACCATCTCTACTGCCCCCATGGAAGTGACACTAGCATACTTACTGTAGCTTTGACTCTGAGCTGAGACTATTGACCTTCCTTCCTGCTCTTGCCCTCTCCTGCACCTTCCTCTGCTATCCCAAATAAAGGGAGAAAGTTCACATCCCCTACCCTCTTCACCAACAGGGTACTGCACCCTTTCCTCAGGATATATTTAGTGCATTCTAATCTCGAGAGAGACCAACTCCCTGAAGGTTAAGGTTAGAAATAATTAGACAAGAAAACCCCTTCCCTGGAGTTCATCTAACTGTCAAAATAATAAGGAACGGGAAACCCTACTTCAGGTCAGACTTCCCACTCTCCATGAACCTTTGAACTGTGTTGTTTATAGATACATTGTAGCATCGCCATGGCAAAATGAAGTGAGTGTGGCTATGTCTGCCTTTGGCCATATTGTTCACTACCAATTGCTGTAAGACGCAAACACCTGGGGCTGGAGAGAGGGCTCAGCATATGCTGCTCTTCCAGAGGATCTGGGTTCAATTCCCAGCATCCACATGGCTGCTCACAACTCTCTGTAACTCCGGTTCCAGGGGCCTGACACCTAGATAGATGGCTTCAGATACCTAAATAACTCAGCAATGATGGGACTGTTCAGTACACTAGATGGTGGGACTGACTGTTCAATATACTCAATGATGGCACTGTTCAGTACTCCTGATGGTAGGAATGTTTAATAAACTAGATGATGGGACTGTTCAGTACACCCGATGACAGTACTGACTGTTCAGTACACCTGATGATTGTACTGACTGTTCAGTACACCCGATGACAGTACTGACTGTTCAGTACACTCACACTCTCATTCACCTCCCCTTCACTGCAGAAAATGCCCAATTTTGGTTTTGCACATACAGTTTGGAAAATGATTTGAGTATTCGCAGCAATGCAAGACTTTTTATATCCTATTTTGGTTCCTTGAGAGCCAGCCATATAGAAAGCAACATTTCTCTGCCATATTTTAAAAGGTCTTAAGGTATCCCGGGGGGTCTCCTCGTTCCTTTCCTCTTTTTTTTTGGCTTAAATAATTTGAAACATATTTAGGCATCATTCCTGAGCTTCCTAAACAGTGTCCTGAAAATGATTTTTACTCCTTCATTCTCTACAGAGTGCAAATTCCCTAAAGGCAGGGGGTGCTTTTCATATTAGATCTTTGTTAAGTTTGCTTTTATAGCTACAGATCCAAGCTCATTGTCTCAGAGAGAAGCAGAAACTATAAACACTTTGCTATACTGAACTGCATAAAAGAAACCCAGAATCGCCATTTAAGCAAGCTATCATTGGTCTTAGAGAAACCACACACTTAATTATAAAGAAGCTGAGACCAAGTTTTAGTCATTAATTCACTTTCACTGATTTCTGAGGACATCCCAAACACAGGGCAAGTGAGAATAGTGCAGCCAGGTGTCCTGGCTCATCAGACAATGCAAAATGGATGCCAGATGCCAGCTGCTTGGCAGGAGAAGGCCTGAATCCTGGGAGATGA